CGGGCGGGCGTGCGGCTGCACCAGGGCGCTGGGCACTGGTGGAACTGGAGCGGCCCCCCGAGGTAAGGCAGTCTGTCTTTCTGCTTGGATTGACTCTCTGATGATTTTCCTCCCTTTTGGTGCCCTGTGTGGTTTTCATGAAGGACGAGTTTTATTCTTTCTCCTCTTCTTGCCATGCCCTTGAGGCTTTCTGACGTAGTGAAGACATTTATGCATCAGGAAAATCCTGGCAAGGGAGGATAGATTTTCTTCCACACTTTTGTTGTTCTAATTTGAGTTTTGTCAATTTTTTTTTTTTTAAAACTTCCTCTTCCACTTGGATTTATGGCTGTCAAGTATTTACTATCCTTTTTTATTTTCGTCATGTCCATAAGACTGCTGCAAACACCCCTGAGACGTGTCAGCACCTCCTGGTAGCACACCCAGAGCCGAGGAGTTACCGCAGCTGTAGCGGAGCTGGAGCCCTCGTGCGAGTGCTCTGCTGTGGGCAGTGCCAGGCTTTGGGGCGCTGCCGTGCTCCGCGGCCGCCCACCGCCTTGCCCGGGTTATTTGGTCCCTTCCCCGTACAGTAGAGACTGGCACGTCCCTGCCGAATCCCATTTTAATATCTGCTCCCTGCTCAGGGTCTGCCAAAGCCCCTTTGCATTCCTCCTCTCACGGGTAACTGCAGTTCCCCCTCCCGTGTGCAATCATCTGGGAATTTAATGAATAGGCTCCTGTACTTTTTTTCTTCCAGGCTCTGACTAAGACCTAGACATGTTAAATAAGACAGACCCGTCTCCCCAGCAGCGTGCCACTTAACGTTACAGGGATGTTAGCGCTGTGCTAGGAAGTCGCTTATGTAGGTCACTTTACCTGGTCTCAGAGCGTAAGAAAACACCCAAGTAATGGGCTGTGTTCAGTCCTACGCTTTTAAGGCAGAGAGATCTCATAAAATCCTTTGCAGAGGTCTAAGACGGGCAGGGATGTTTTTCCAGTTAAACAAAATCATTCCTCTGCAAAACTGGGCAACACAGACACTGGGGGACGGAAGCTCAGAGGAAAACAGCCCAGAGAGTACAAACTCCTGTTTGGGCATTAATACAGCTCTTGTGTTAGGTTAGACCCAACCCCCCCAGAGACTGTGCCCAAAGCGGGTGGGCACTGGAACGGTCCCTCATCGGGCACCCAGGGCCAGGCCCGTCCCTGAGGAGCCGGCCGCTGTGTAGCGCAGGCGGCAGGGGAAGCCGAGGGACCCCCACGTCACAAAGAGCCTTTGAGAACCGCAGCCTGGAGCGTCACCGGCCCTTCCACCCTCGCTGGGGGGACACTGCCCGCCTGCTCCCCGCCCAGCTGCCGGTGCCCCGGCCGTGGCTTGCGTGCCGAGGGCGCGGACGTGGGGGGGAGCGTGCCAAGCCTGTGCCCGGAACCAGCCCTCAGCTCCAGCCGGTTTTGCTCAGGGTTGGGTCCGTCCTGGGAGCGTGTCCGGGAGCCTGGAGCCTCAGGCGCTGCGGCACCGTGGCAGCGCTTGGCCGTTGGGCGCCAGGAAAGGCCCAAGCTCCCGGCAGAGCCCGACCTCCACTCTGGGCCGAGGCGGGCTGGAAGCGGTCGTGCAGCGTAAAGCACAAGGGGCTCACTGCCAGGTCGCCCGGAAAATGCTGGGCTTTTCTGGCTGGGGAAGGCTGTCTCGGGAGCAGCTGATCCGTCCCCTTACTGCTGCTTAAAGACTGTAATAATAAATTTTTTAAAAAATTCCCCTTCTCCAAGGCCCACAGCACTCGCTTTCTTTACTAGCCCTAACAAAGCAGGCTGATGTCAGTCCCCGAACGATGCCGAGGTGACACTCGTTTTGGCTCCGGAGGCCGAGGGTGCCCCTGGCCAGGTGGGACGGGGGAGAGGAGAGGAGAGGGACGTTCCTGTCTCCTGGCAGCTGAGACGCTCCCAGCGAGCGGCACGGCCCCCGCTGAGGTGCAGAGCCCTGTCGTATTGCTCTGGGGAGGGGCTCAGCCTTGAGCCGGGGGACCTGCTCTGCCACCCGCTGTCCAGCTCGACACCCAGAGCACCCTGTGGATGCACATTTAGTCTGCAGCCTCAAAGATTTCAGGTTTACTGAATAAGTGAATGATTAACCACTAATGAACTTTCTTCCTGCTTGCATTAGTGTTTTCAGAAAATTTAAGGTCTGGATACAGTTTCCTGTTGGGTTAAAATAAATATAAAATGAGGAAGCCCGACAGCATCTGGGCTTGAGTAGTGCAAAAAAAGTATGTGTTATTTCTTTACAGTTTTTCTTGGTTTGGGCTTTCTGTCTGTGGATGAACTATTGAAGATGCCATCTTTACCATAGGAAAATAGTAATGTGCTTGTTTCTTTTTCTCCCTCCTCTGTAGGCCTACGGACATGAGGTGGTTAAGAGTAGATGATGAGATGCCTCAACACGTTGTAGTGTCTGGTTCAAACCTTCTCATTAGTAACCTAAACAAAACAGATAATGGTACATACCGCTGTGAGGCTTCAAACGCGGTGGGGAAATCACATGCGGATTACATGCTGTTTGTATACGGTACGTGAGAAAAACCACCGTTCTTCTAGACTCATTTACACATATTTGCAACATACCGCGCTCTGAAAGCTTTGACAGAAGTTAACGTTTTGCTTAATGCAAGATTTACAGATAGCTCCCGGCACGTCGGCGGCGTGCGGGCTGGGGCAGGGGCTGGAAACCCTTTTCTTTTGCTTCTGCAAGTCTCGGTGTCGGGCAGCGGGGGCAGAGCCCGGGCGGTGCCCGGGGAGCCCCTTCCCCCGGGGCTGCGCGCGTGGGCTGGCCGCGGCACGCCCGGGCTCTCGGGCGAAGCCAGAGCAGGGGCACGGGGAGAGCTGTGGAGTCCTCGGGCCTGACGGTTCTCCTCGGCCTTCTCCGATAATTCCTTTGCCTTTTTGTAATACTTCTGTAGTGTCTTCGGCAGTGGGGCCGGGGGGGGTGGTTCCAAGTCTTTCATTAGCAAGTTAAATTACTGAAGAGTCAGCCAGCACCCCCAGATAATTACAAACCAGTAAATAAACTGGAGGAATGAGATGCCCTAAGCCTCTCTGTGGCGGCTGAGCAGACGTTAAACCATGCCTCAGCATCTTTTTAAGGAGCCATTAAGTACCGACTTTAATTCCTCAGTTCCTCTGCATTGTTTTGCCATGGCTTTAGACCTTGTGCTCCTGTCACGAGGCGTTGCATGTGGTGAAGGTTCCGCAGGCACGTGAAGAGGGAACCCCCAGTTTAATTACGGGCACTTCCCTTGGGCTGCATATTGAAACTTTACCTGCTACAAGTGGTTATCGCGGGGCTGGGCAAAGCTCGTGGTGGGTGTTGCCTCTTGCTCGGACGGGACAGTAACTCGCTTGGGGTTGAAGTTCGTTCCATGCAACAGCCGCTTGAAGCTCTGCAGTCCAAGTCTTCCTGTACTTGCTCAGATGCAGATAAACAGTCAAGAGCCTCCCATCACTTGTCCAAACGCCCCTTGCACGCGAGCCAGTTTAAGCCCAGCCTTAGAAACTTGCCCAAAGACCGAAGAAAATGCCAAAGCTGCAGCTTTGAGCTGAAACCGAAGCGAACTACCACGTCAGACGGGTAGTTTTCTAGTGCCTGTAGCTCCAAAAGAGCCCAGTTTCCAAAATGAAGTCACGTCTGCATTTCTGATGGGATAATTGGTATATTCGTGCCATAAAAAAAAAAATCTCATTTACATCGGTGTTTAGAGAAACAACTACTGTTGTGGAAGATGAAGAAGTTGCAGCAGGACGCAGGCAGGTCCCCGTGAGATTGCAGCCACGGAGCGGTCCTGCCGTAAAGCAGGGGTAGACTAGGCGGCTTCACTCCTCGTGTGCTTTTCCGTAGCTCTCTTGGCCCAGTCAGGGCTCGATGCACCACCTCAGCCACCGGGGACGTAGGGCTCGCAGGAACTTCTGCGCTTGTTGAATTATTCTGCCTTTTGGATGTGGGTGAGGACTCACATGGGGCCTCCTCGGGGCTGCTCCCCTCAGGGTTAAGCCCCCGGGAGGAGGCTCGAGGCAGTGTTAGTCAGAAGGAGGTGCAGGGTGCCGGGGGCTCAGGCGTCCGGCAGAGGCTTTGGCCATGCAGGGGAGGCCTTGGCCTGGCCTGGCCGGGGCCCGCGGGTGGATAATGGTTTTATAGCCTGTCACGTCCAGTTTCTGCCCGTTTGGGAGCGTCCTGCCAGGATCCAGCAATCCTTTTAGCCCCGAATTTCAACAGGGCAGGAACCCCGAGGTGCCGGTGCGGAGGAAGCGTTGGGCCGTGGCCGCCTCCTGCCGCAGCCCTGGTGGGGCGGCCCCCGGAGGGCAGGCGTGCGGCGGGCACGGAGCGCGCTGCTCCC